TATTTCCATGGTTATCCCTTCAGGCTTGTTGCCAGGTACACTGCTTTCTGCTCCTCTGTCCATCCATTCATTTCTGTCAGTAGCTCAAATTGTACTCTGTATTCTTCCCATGGTGCCTTCCCATCGAACTCCTGTGACTTCCTTCGTACTAGATCAACCCTATTGCTGACACTCATGTCTGGAATGTGACTTCTGACAGGACTGAAGATGTCTGCATTAGGGTTTAGCTGTGGGGTCTGGTAGGGCTTCCTATTGTCTGAGGTTGATGGCTAATATATCCTCCTTGTGTAAAAGACATTAAATCATCCTTTAATGCATTTAATTCACTTTGAAATTTACTAATGTTTTCCATTTGTACTTCTTGCCACTATTGTTGACTTTTCTGTAGTTGCTGCTGACTTTCCTGCAACTGTTGGAGACTTTCTTCCTGTTTCCTTTCTTATTCCAGTTGCCACTGTTGTAATCTCTCTTGTTTATTTTCTTTTTCATCCAACAATTGCTGTAATCTCTCTTCTTGTTTCTTTTCTTTATCCTCCAACAACTGCTGTAATCTCTCTTCTAGTTTCTTATCTCGTTCTTCTTGTTTCTTTTCTTTTTCCTCCAACAACTGCTGTAATATCTCCTCTTGTTTCTTTTCTCGTTCTTCTTGTTTCTTTTCTTTTTCCTCCAACAACTGCTGTAATCTCTCCTCTTGTTTCTTTTCTCGTTCTTCTTGTTTCATTTGCTGTTCTTGTATTGCTGCCATCAAATCTGCTAAGCTGTAGTTCGATTTTCCACCTCTCGTTTCCATCTTCTTCTTTTTTTTCCTCCCACTCTCTGACACCAATTTGTTATGTATCTGGTCGTTTGTTAATTTCCGGTATAAATTCTTCCCGAGGAACTTCAGCGATACAAGTCCTTTCATAAATAAAACTAGTTTATTCTTTTTCAATACAACTTTGCAATACACAGAATTTCCACAGTCTCTTTAACTTAACACACACGCTATAATTCACAACGATTCACGCATTTTTCTTACGGTCACTACCGCTCACTTGACTCAATTATCTGTCTCTATCTCCTTCTATCTGCAATTATTATCTCCGCTTTATTTGCCGGGCTTATATGCTAAAATAGAAGGCGCCTAGAAAAGACTAGAGTTGCCAGGAACAGTCATGATCCTTCTAGAAACTCCAGCGCACATGCTCAGTCTCTACAACTTACTACAAATAGGCTAAAATCGCCTTTACTGATTTATCGTTTAATCAGTCTCTTCAACCAACTTCAAATAGGTTAAAATCGCTCTTTACTGTGGATTCATCAACATTACGAATTCAGCTTTAGCGTAACAAATATGAGATCAATAAGAAAAACCAAACAAGTTTTGAAACACCTTAATCCAATGAACAGTATTTGTTTTTTCCATTAAATGAACTGTAAAAAGGTTGTTTACGTTTCAACAAGTGAATCTTGACGTAGCTGTTATCTCAAAATGAACAGTTTTTACTGATTACACCTTGAAGAAACATTTAAAACTATTTAAATGCAAACAAAAGTTTACCAAAATATTGTTAGGACAGCGGAAGTCACGTGACGCTGGAATTAAACGATAAGTAAGTAAAGGCGATTTTAACCTATTTCAAGTAGGTTGTAGAGACTGATTAAACGATAAGAGTAAAGGCGATTTTAGCCTATTTCAAGTAGGTTGTAGAGACTGATTAAACGATAAGAGTAA